GAGATATCTGCCTGGGACGGCTGAAGAGATGGGTGAGTGCCAGCTCATCCTAAATTTGGGGGTGCCAAGCCCCCCTCAGGACTCCCACCCCATTGTTTGTGCTGCCCCGGCATTGCCTGCACCCCCATGGGGGTGCCAGGGCAGTGCCAAGCCCCACGTGGTACCCGAGGCCACTGTGTCACCACGCAGGGGACAGTACCCGCTCAGCGGGTGACCTCTCACCTGGAAACCAGAGGGCAAATATAGCCCCATGCCACTCACCCTGGCTATTTATAGCTCAGCATGGGGTAGCAATGGGCAGAGTTGGCCCCGTGTCATGGCAGAGGTGACCGGAGAGGCCACCTGGCTTTTTGGTGACACCACCACATGACCTTGTGGCCCAACAGCCTGTGGGTGGGCACTCCTGTGTCCGCACGACAGGGTGCAGAGCTCGGGAGGGTCATCCCAGTGCCAGCATTGGGATGCTCTGGTGCCCGGCATGGGATGCTGTGGTGCCTAGTGTGGGATGACCACATGGTTCTCACCCCCTGTCCCCGCAGCGGTGGCAGCGAGCGCAGAGGTGGTATCACCGGAGCGGCAGAGACGACGGCAGAGCTGCTTTGTCCGTGTGGGCTCACTTTCGGCCAAGCTGCGGCATCGAGCCCTGCGGCGCTCACTGGATGAGCTGCAGCGGGCACGACGCAGTGCCCAGCATGTCCTGGCCCAGCTCCACCACATCTTTGAGCTGGTAAGGACAGGACGGGGGCAGTGGCAGCCATGTGCCAGCCCGGCACTCCCCTGGTGTGCTCCCACCTCGCTGTCCTTTCCCACAGATCGAGCAGGGCCAGCAGGGCATGGATGGGCCCCTGTACAGCGCCTGGCAGCATCTCCACCGCATGTGGCTGGAGTGGAGCCAGCAGGACACTGTGCCCATGGAGGAGAGCGAGGTATGGGGCAGGGGTACCATGGAGGACACCAAAATATGGGGTGGGAGGCTGTGACCATGGAGAACATCAAGATATAGTTTGGGGACCATGCTCATGCAGGACACCAAGGTATGGGTTGAGGACCATGCTTGTGAAGGACACCAAGTTACAGGGGTCCAAGCCAGGTGGGGGGACCACTGCACCCCAGGGCCACCACTGCCCACTGTCTGCCTTGCAGGTGGAAGTGCGGACACTGGCCATGCTGCGTGGGCTCCTGCGCCAGCTCCATGCTGCCTGCACCCGCCTGACCGCCGGCGCCCGAGCTTTCCCCAGCAGCGTGCAGGAGACAGCGGGCCAGGTCCAGCATGGCATGGAGGGTGTGCAGGCTTCCCTCTCTCACACACGGTCCTTCCAGGACCTGTCGGAGCTGATGCTGGCCCAGAGTCGGGAGAAGGTGCTGCGGGCACAGAGCAGCATCGATGAGATGCTGGAGTACGTGGGGCAGCACACACCCCTGCCCTGGCTGGTGGGACCCTTCGCCCCCGCCCTGGTGGAGTATCCAGAGGATGTCCCAGTGGAGATGGCCAAATGGGAGGGTTGTGTCACCGTGGTGGGAACACACCAGGTGCCTGCTCCCCCACGGCTCC